TTTTAATTGTGGATATTTATATTTTTATTGTTTTTATTGTCTTGGATTTTAATTGTAAGCCCAGAGTCACCCTCTGGGGGAGACGGGCAGCATATAAATTTAATAATCAATCAATCAATCAATCAATCAATAATATACACTATCTATTGCTCCACTTTCTCAGTTTTACTATAACGCATTATTTCAGTACAATGATATGCTTAGATGCTTAATATTCTGTTATTTACGTGCCTTGGAATACTGAACACAGGTAAGGAAAAACAGTGGATATTCTATTCATCAATATCAACGACAGTTTCAGATATCAAGGTTGCAAGCGTTATGATTATTTCGCTTTTCCTTCCAAATTAAATATAAGATTGCACGATTTTCACTTTTGAAAGAGGGAATTTGGATGGGGCTTCTCACGGGGGCCATAGCTAGACTGGGTTCCCGCAGCCGCGTAAACCAAGGACGGAATTCAACCCATAATCGGAGTTCCTGCTTTAATCCATCATCGGAGTTCCTGCTTTGCGATCTGCCATCCCCTAACTCTAAAGGTGGAATTTGCACAGCATAGGGGTAGAAGTGGGAGGAGCAAAGAGAAAGGGGGAGGGGCCTACGAAAGGGGGGCTAAGGATAAAGGGGTGGGGCTAAGCCCCGCCTACCTTTGCAGGTAAAGCCATCATGGTCCAGCTCATATCCTTGGTTGCAACGGCAGATAAAAGTGCCATACGTGTTGAAGCAGCGCTGCTTGCAAGGGGCCCCCATCTCGCACTCATTCACATCTGCGGGAGGACGCAAAGAAGCGGACTTTATGTCCCATAACGTTTGACACTCGATTTCTGTACGCCGTTCAAGACTTAAAATAGGGAGTCTCTGGGTTGGAAGGCCATCCACTGCCTTTAAAACACACCTTGGATCCTTTAAACTTGCCCCAGGGCCACTAAGTGATGGATTTGCGCAGTGTTTTTCAAACTTGGCAACTTTTAAGATGGGTGGACTTCAACTCCCAGAATTCCCTGGCCAGCCATGTTCCCCAGCCGCACTTTTTAAAGTGGCCAAGTTTGAGAAACACTGTTCTAAATCAATATTTTTCTGAATGGGGCAATTTTAGATATGTGGACTTCAACTCCCAGAATTCCCCAGCCAGCCATGCTGGCTGGGGAATTCTGG